CTACCTAACAGCACATTCAGCTCTGAACTCATCAATGGGTTAATACATTCATAAGTATAGCACCTCTGTGATCCAACCACCTTTGAAAGAGACCACAGGAAAATTTTGTGGGAACTTTTTATATCCACATCATAACATTTTAGTCCAATCCTCCAAAAGCTCATATCCAAATCATTACACAAAATTGACTTAGTCCATCTTTAAGAATTGTCAAAGTCTTAATAGTTCCAGAATTGCTGAAAAGTCCAAGTCCAAGGCAAATTCTGAGACTCAAGTCAAATTCTTAGCTGTGAACTCTTAGAAAACTCCACAAATTAAATACTGCCAACATAAAATGTCAGAGAGTAAGCATTCTTATTTCAAAAGGGAGGAATAAAGAAATAGAAAGAAATCAATTAAAGCAAGATTGCACACCAAAAGGTCAAATATTCGATTTCATAACTTCATGTCCTGCACACAGGGTAGATTGTGGTGAAATATGAGCTCCAAAGAACTTTGCAGCCCTCCCCTTGTGGCCTTGCCAGTTGCAGCCTATGTAGACTCTCTTTTGGGCTGGTTCTACTTATATTACCTAGTTTTCCTCACAGACATTTCACATTCCTGGCATGTCCAAATTCATGGAACCTCTACCACACCTTTGGCTTCACTCTCACAACTTCACATATGGCCCAGTGATGCAATTACCCTTTAGAAACTTCACCTCCAAACATGTAAGAATTCTGGGGGAACATCTGAGATCTAAACTGTAACAATTTTTCACTTTATTAAAATTATGAGTAAGAAAGTCACCTATATGTAAAGTGAACAGCAATCAAGGGTGGAACAACTGATGGCTTGACAAACTACATGTGTAAAGGAAGATTCTCCTTCCCTGGGCCACCATGGTTTTATGAATTTCTTTGTGCTGTTAGCATTTTTGACAGTTTGTGGCTTTATCTGTCCAGCCCTTGGTGCCCCTAAAGAGGACTGTGTTCAACCAAAAGCAGTTAAAATAAAACACACACACATACAAAAGGAATTGGCAGCACAGAGAAGAAACAAAGGTATAGGAAAGAGGTGAAAGTAATTTTCCTTCAGAGGGCAATCTTCATGACCATTAGACTGTTGTGTCACAAAACTGTTACAGCTAGTATTATGGAATAAAATTTACATATTTTCAGAGATATATTATACATGTGAACTATTTTTTAAAGCCTAGGAAGAAAGAGTTTGCTGAGAACATCATGGCATTTTATAGAGCACCCAAAACATTTCTATTGAGTTTATGGATATAAAGTCTGACTCTGAGCTAGGACACTCCCAACTTGCTATATTCACATTACCACTAAGAGGATGCTGCCTAACTGGCATCTCAACCACAAAGATGACAATGAAAGTTACATTCAGGATGAAAAATAATTTTACTTCTGATAAAAACCCAAGACATTTCATTTAATAATAGAATGAGTTTAATAAACGCACTTTCCTAAAATAATATATATTTTAAAAGACTGGTTGCTTTTTATCATGAAGTCATCAAAATATTTTCAAGATATATTTCTGCAATGTTTTCAGGAGAGAATATCAGACAGAAGGCCAGTGCTTAGAATGAAGACGAAGAATAGTCAAGGGCTGGTTTGAATGATGTAATCTCTGCTTTGGATCACAGCCAAGCAAGTCTGCTTGGGAAGCTTCCTAGAAACTGCAAAAACCAATGCCAACCCTGCTGGAGAGCAGTTAATAATAACTGGATAAAATAACTTATGTGTGTGTCTGGCGGGATTATGGGAGGAGGGAAGAATGAGAGCATAGTGGATATGAGAACGGACTAGGTCCCTTGGTATAATGTTCGTCATCCTCTTTAGTGATGATAGAAATGCTGCCCAGAAACTGTCCTATTTTACTTTTTTTTTTTCCTGGCTGGAGTAAGTGTAGGTTCAAAGTTTCACATTTCCTTTGTTTTTTTAAGGGACATTGTTGGTATCCCATTTAGATCCTCTTAGATCACTTTACTGGCTCTGCATGGAAGCCTGCTTTTCAAAGGCTCTTCTGCTAATGTTTTGCACATGTCACCTTTGCAGGTTAGTTCTTCATACTACAGGTGGAGTCCCAGAAATGTCTTGGAGTTTATCTCTCCCCACCTACATGTTAGAGTTGCCAGATAAAACACAGAACTCTCAGTTAAATTGGAATTTCAGATAATCAGTAACATTTAAGCATTAGGATGTTCCAAATATCATATGGGATATACTTATATTTAAAAGTTATTTATCTCAAATATAAATTTATTTTGGTGTCCTGTATCTTTATTTAAGTCTGGAAACCTTACCTGAGGGCATCCATAGTCAGTGTCTGACTAGTTTTGGATGTGATGCTCTGGGTCCTCCAAATGCACATAGGCCAGGAACACAATTCATGCTCCAGTGTCCCCTGTGGGATCAGGCTGATGTCTTAGAGTCAGATCCCAGCTGCGATAGCATCATTACTTAGCTTATCACCCTTCTTTGTTTTGCCCCTCCAACTGCCTTCCTGATTTCTCTTGAGATTATCTGATTAATAATTAACTTGCTTAGACATCCTTGTCTGTTTCTGGGATAGCATAACTTAAGATGGAGATCTCATGGGGCCAGGGATTTAGCTCAGTGGCACTGCGCTTGCCTTGCAAGTGCAAAGTCCTGAGTTCAAGCTCCGGTACAAAAAAAAAAAAAAGATAGCGATCTCACAAATCATAGTATAGAGACCACTCATCACAGCTCAGAAGGGATCTGGAGTCATAGCCTTGAATAGAGTTCTATTAACTGAAGTTTACATTTACATCCTTTAAAAAACCTCTCTGCCTCACTTGTCCAGTTTCTAGCAACCATTGAATGGGCATTCGTCATGCTGTTCTGAGTGATTATAAGGCTTCCCTGACCCATTCATAATTTGTCCTGCTTTGAAACTACTGAAAAGAAATAAAGTCAATGAGACAACTAATAAAACATTATTTCTACTTGGATATGATGTGAGTTCTTAAAAGGAATGCCCAATCCTAGCTGCTCTAGGGAAAAACCAATGTACCATGAAGAAATATGCATTGTAGAAGGAAAGGAGAATAATTGTTAAGCTAGGTCATGTAACAGACGAAAGAAATTAATCTCATGATCTCTTTAGATGATGTGTAAGGAAAGATGGGACTGCCCCTGCCCCAACTATCTAAGAAATTGTTTTGGGATAATGGAAGGGATCACAGTGGCAGTCTATTAATGAGTCATCATTGTTATAAACACGTGTTCCAGGAAGGAGACATTTTGCTCTACTGATCTCCTAAGCATCTTTATTCCCTTCTAAATGGAAGAAACACTTTTCTTGGTACACTTAAACTAAAACCAAACCAAACAAAACCAAACCTTAATTCATTCTGGTTATCTAAACCATTTCAAGTACTTACAATTTAAAAGATAAATTTAAATAAATTTAAAAGATAAACTTGGGGAACTTTTTCCAGTTTTTAATAAGATTGAGAAACCCCTGAGTCAATACACCAGTATATGGTGAAACATGTCCACATGGCTTTACAAATAAATGTTTATTATACCTCATAGCACATAAGACACAAGGACTAAACACAAACAGATAAACTCTAAAATAACAGTATCAAGTACAGTGAAACTGGGGAGTGTGCCCCTTATTCTTGTTGAATAACTTTCAAATAAAAACATAAAAAGACATAATTTAATTTTGTTTGATGGGCCTGAAAGCTTTTTGATTTTTTTAGACAAAGAACTCTATCTTTCCTCTTTTTAGATATTATCTCTCTTAGATGTTAGCCTGAAGTGTAAGCCAAGATAGCTCAGCGAATCAGTCTCTAGAAGATGACCAAAAAGAAAAATATCGACTTAGTTTCACAGCATCTTTAAATAATTTTGATCACTACTGTCTGAGAATCAGGAGTCTAATGATGAAAAATAAACATGATGTATTTGTACAAAGTTTCTGTGTGACTCAATATGGAGCTGCCATAAAGGAAGCCAAACAAAACTCTTTCAAGGGCAAAGGTAGCCATGGCTTGCTGTTTTTATCATAAAGGGAATATATCTGCATTGTTAAAAGTTTGGGAACTACTGAATACTGTGATGATCCTTTGATAGTGGATGGTAGATGATATTTTTTTATTCCCTATTTTTTTCTGTACAGTTTTACAGCAAGTAGCTTTCTTGTAGGAATGATATAGGGGAAAATAAAACAGAGTCACCATGGGGAAAACCCCTTCAATAATTAAAAGCATTTCCTGAAAGTCCCCTTGCAGAGCCTACCAATGGAGGAAATAAAATCTGACAGTTTTTCTGGTTGGTTTAGTGAAATTACTGAAGTCATGGCAAACAAAAAGGAGTTAACATTTGGACAAATCAATGAAACATGAGGTTAGATCATTTTCTCATCTTTGATAATACACTATGAAAATACATTATGAAAATAAGCCTTGCGTCATGCTCCAACAGGGTAGAGAAAATAAAATCTGATTAGAAGTGACTATGCTCTTGGGTATCCTTTCAATTTCTCTTTACAAATGATAGCTTCATGCACAGGAGATTCTTACCTGGTCCCTCTGAAAATCAGAAGAAAGTGGAATTTATGGAATATTCTCTGAAGCAATTCAAATGATAAAATTATTGATAGTTTTCAAAAGCTCTAAGGCATGGATATGACCCTTAGATGTTTCTTTACAGAAGCTTAAATGGAAAAAGATTAAAAAAAATGGAAAGTATGTGTTTGGCGTGTACATCTCCATTTGAAGTACAGCCTTGAGTTCCTACCATCTCACCCCTACAGATGACTCAGATGATTCTGTCAGCTGTAATTCCAGAAGCAAGGTAGGTGATTTCCATTTGAAACAAAAAGTATCCTCCTGACTTTTCACCTTATGTGTCAAGAGTTGTCCACGTGGTGATATTTGACAAATGACTAGGAGCCCTATTTGGAAGGGAATATATCAAGCTCACTCTCAACCTGTCCCATTGCTCAATCTTTATGTCTCTTACCTTTCTGAACCAGCAGTTGACTTCAAACTCCGAAAATTTTGACTGTCTAAATCCAAGCTGTAGCTCCGCCCACTTTCAGTTTTGGGAGTTGTAATTTCTCCTCTGGTTGCTGATCTGAACTTACTAAGAAGAAATCTGAAATTACATATACATATACATTTAAAAGTAAGATAACTAAGAAAGCATTTTAAAATATTTCTAGAATATAAGTTTTGGTTTCGGGTATATCTCTGTGGTAGAGCACATGCTTAACATACACAAGGCCTTGGGTTTGATTCCTCAGAACTAAAGAACCACACCCACACACACCCCACACACATAGAGTACACAATTCCTAGTACTTGTTTGAGACAGGCTCTCACTATGTAGTTGAGACTGACCTGGAACTCACTATGTAGTCCAGGCTGGGATTACAGGTGTGTGCCTCCGTGCCCAGCTCAGTACTTTTAACAGTAAGCAACTCTTCCTTAAAGGAGCACGGGGGCTTATGGGTTCTGAGGAGCTGCTAATGCCTCTGTAGAACAATGTCAAGGGAGGAGGTCATGATATTATCCTAGGACCATCCTACTTGATGGTAAGTCTGGCCTTTATTCTTGTTAAGCAGAAAATCACCTACTTTGAGAACTTACCACTGCCACGTGATAAGACAGTATCGTACTTTATTGTATTGTACAGGGAACTTGTACTCACCTTGGTCAGAGAGGGGATAATCTTCCAGGACACACAGAGGAAACAACTTGTTAGTCTGCCACTCCATTAGAGCAGTGACTGCCTTTTTAAATCCCTTGTCACATTCCTTGAGTCTAGAATGATGACTCGCACATACTAGAACCCAACCAACACTTATGGAGTGAGTCACTAAATTCACATGGTGGAAACCATCTTTATATCTTCCATGACATTTCTCCCTATGGAGTGTATCAGGTTGGATGAAATTTGATTGCATTCCCATTTCATTAAAGTGTTTGGAACTCAAAACTGTGGCTTTTCAGGAACTAAGATTCAAGTACTGATCCAGGATACTGAGTACTCCAAACATAGCTGTTTTCAAATACACTATCATAAAAAAGAGAGTGGGGTGAACCGGAAGGGGAAAAATAATTGAGATGTGTTATGTTCAGGTACCAATTCCCCACACTGAATATAATCATTATGTACTGCAAGCATGTACTAATAAAAATTAAGTAAAAAAAATGAAGCTATATATTTTGAGGGAATGGCATTGGGAGAGAGTGGTTCATATACTTTATATTCAGCAGTTTTCTAGGGTAAAATGGATTACAAAAGTAGTGGCAGAATCTGAATAGAATCTGCTAAGTTGTCTCTGCTTCCAAGAACCTTGGAAGAGTGTCATTATCAAAGTGTCAGAAGTTTCAATGTACTGGAAAATTACATTTTTGGTGAGAATAGCACTTAATATAATGTCAGTCTCTGCTGCTCTGAGAACCACCTTGTGGAGATATACACCTCTGCACATCTGCTTAAGGTGTCTGCTCTGTCAGGATTCATTTTTCTTCCCTTTTAATATCCTGAACCCCATCTGTTGAGCTCTGCATCAAATCCTACTTAAAATTTGATGTCTTTCTTGATGGCTTTGGTGCCCTCCCAAGCATTTATTTTCTAACCACTCATTTAGTACTTATTTCCTTATGACATCTCCTGTGATGTATTAACACCCTGCCTTGTTGAGAGAGGCTTTCAGTAGCTCATTTTATATTTTTGCACAATTCCTTTATACTTATTAACTTTTCGGTGTTAATATTTTATCCCCAACTGGATATTATATTTATTGAAGGCTGAGAACCACAGGTGCCACTTTTGAGTTTCGGCAGTATTAGTCTCATGCTATGACAGTTTGAATGGTGCAGGGTTTGTATAATTCGTTGTGCTGATGGGTTACTTATTGTGTCTCAGATCCAAGCCCTACTTAGCTCAGTAACATACTTTGTGATGCCTGTGCTAAGGTCTGCAAAATATAGCTCCTCGTGGCACTCCTAAGCTATGAATTACTATTTAGTCCAGCCCAGCCACTGATTGTTTTTGAGGAGTCAGTTACTGTTGGAGACAATACAAAAACAAATAAACCACAAGAGTGGCACTCAAAGAGCTGACAGTTAAGTATGGCTTTGCTTGTGTTTAGAGGATGTTACAGTGCAATGTGAGGGATGTTGCACAGGCGCAAGGCATCCTGAGAATCCTGAGAAGAGATAAATTGATTTAATGTGACGAGAAAGATCAATACTTATGATAGGACACTTGGAAGACTCTACATCATATTTCCTATTTAGCTCTGCTAATTAACGAAGATGTGTTTAGTCATGAGTGTTTGAGTGAGATGACATAAGCATTTCATTCCCATAATTCAGGACACTAAAAAAAGGCCCAGATTTTTTTAGAGCCAGATAGAAACAAAGACAAAGTGTGGGGCTGCCTGTGAAGCAGCAGTTTACCTTTTGGTCCTTGTAGTCTGCATTTGGGGTGCAGTTCTTCTGCCTCAATGGAACCCGTTTTTCCCCAGTTCTTCAGTACCCTCTTGCATCTTGCTTTCCTGTGTATTTCCCATTGCTATTTTTAATACTTTACACATGTATTTGCTTCCTGAATTAGCTTGAGGTGGCCAAATATGTTTTTTCCTTAAAGAATTCTTAATTTTAAACATAGAATATAATATTTTAATCTCAAGAAATACATCTTTGATTTGGGGATTTCATATATCAGCATTCAGGTTGGAGGGGAGGGGAACTGACATTCTACAACAAAAGCAGTAATAGACAACGACCTTGAAGTGAACCCTTCTATCTAGAAGTAATGGGAACAACTTGGTGCAAGAACAGACTTGTCAAATGAAAAGAGATCTCTTGCATGCACAGGTCACCGGGGACCTTTATTTATCTAAGACTGAAAGTAATTAAAACTGCACCTCCTGAGAGGAATGATAAAGTGTTTCTGACTTCCTTTGGGTCACTAAAGTGAAATTCAATTTCAAAGACTGTAGTCTTTATTTCACAGGTGTCTGGAATAAAGACTAAAACGTCCCTCAGAGAGGCTGAGTCTTACCCTTTTCTCTTGGGACCACCATGGCTGGCCTTCTGCCCAACAGAAGGTGAAGTGTCTGATTTTTCTGCATCCTGGCAGGTTTGCTCTTGGCTTTGTACCTCTTCGGATCCTCATTAAAAACAATGAGAAGACAAATTTATATATACAATGGCCAGAAATGAAAGCAAATTTATATTCTCCATTCACTTTTCTAAATTATCAGGGAACAAAATAATTGTACTTTCTTAGGTACACAGCTATTTCTAATTTATGGAATGTTCCAGAGTTAACTAAAGACTAAAATCAGGACTTCTGAGTAGGAGACTTGCTGAGATAAGCTTTCTAAGAAACAGTGCAGTGGAGAAATGAACACATTATTCCTCCACAGATATTTTTAGAGTGAGGGAGCCAGGGTTCTTGAGAGCTCCAAATCCCTAGGGACTAAGTTCCAGTATGAGATTATAGAAATTATGTCTTGACCTCAGAGCACATAAACCAGGCTTCCTGAGAGAGTGGGCATCTAGATACATACATACCTGGTGACTTGAGAGACAGTCCATATACTGAAGGGCATAGAGTTTTGAGTGAAGGAATAGGCCATAACTTACTGCTTAATTCTTACTTTACTCCACTTCTCCTTTTGTAGCATCAGACCTGATGTTATCCTTGTGTAATAGTGCTTCCTTGCAAGTGCCACACATACATAGTACTAGAATCAGATTTAAACATCCTGGCCCTTCCTGCTAGACTTAAAAACAAAGGCAGGAATCTCCTATCTAGGAGTAGGATAAAAGATGCTTTTTCTACCTTTACTATACTATATATGAGAAATATGCCCCCAAACACAAATTTCACTCAATATTTAATCAAATAAATTATAGTTTAAATGAACCAGAAAGCATTCTCATTGTGAGTGTTATTTGCATTTAGTGCTGGTATAATTCTCCATCGACTAAAACTGTACTATGTATTTCAGGTCATTTATCATCTCTGGCTCCTGTCCACTAAGTGCTGTAACTCACTGTAGGCATTGTGACAAGAAAAGTTTCTTTGGATTTCCAAATGCTCCCATTTTGGGAATGGGATGTAGTGCACAATATCAATGCTTAGATGAGATTAAAGGATTAGAAAAAGTACAAATTTAAAAGAAATTTGTAAAAAAACAAACTTACTGAAAAATCAAGAATTTCTTTCACAATGTGAATCATTTAATTAATTGCTTTTATGATACGTTTTAAACATTTAGCAAAATACTAGATGCGCATTCAGAAAAAGAACTGTGATGAAGATAAAAGTCTTTTTTGAAAATCTCTGTGTGTCACATATATGGAAAATCACTAAAATTTTATTTTCTATTAACCTCTTCTTTCCTTATATGAATTGCAGACTAAGATCTCATACTACCAAGTTGTGAGGTGACCAAAGGGATTCAGAAAATTCAGGTGTACTTATTTGCTACAAAACATAAGGGAATAATTTAGCCTGCAAAAAATGAAGATCAGAAGAGTTTTGAAACCAAATAATTACCTGGACTTCTTCTTAAGATTGACTGTCGGACAACATCAGTGCCCAGAACATTGACTTGCTTGAAACGCTTTGCCTTTTCTTCATAAAACCATTCTCCAGTTATAATCCTTAGCTGCCTACTCAAGGGAAGAAGAGAGTATTGAAATTCAAATATTTATCTGCATGATTAATTCTTAAAAATTCCTAATTAAGTAAATAATAGCCAGTTATTTATAGAGTTATCTCTGAAGTATTTTATGATGATAATTATATTTACTATATATTACATAAATTTAACAAAATTTACTATATTCTATCTGCTAGGTAACTGCTAATTGTTCTTCATACTTTGTCTACTTTATTCCACATATCAATCTTGTGTGAGCATTATGATTCCCATTTTATGGATGAGAAAACTTTGATCTACAACAACAAAATGACAAGCCTCACATCACACAGCTGATAAGTAATAGAGCCAGTACTCTATTCCAAGTAGTCTGGCCTAGGGTTCAAGTTCTCTACCCCTGCCGTAGCAGGTAAAAGGTCTTCAATGCAAGCAATCAGGAGCAACTGAAAGTTCCAAATGATAGAGGGGCCAAAACCAATATTTACTTTAGAAAAATTCCTTGCTGTAACATGAACACTGGACTAGAGAATGAGACAAAGACAGGTTGACCATTACAGTAGTCCAGAAGAAAGGGAATAGGACTCATACTAGGGCAATGGTAAGAAGAACATAGGATGAGACCAGTCTAAAATGGAGGTGACAGAAGTATCTGTATTTGCAAGAAAATAAATGTTAACTTTAGAAAGGATCTTTGAATAGTCCTCTCCATCTTCTAAGCTACCTGCAATGGATACATGAAATCTCCTTCATCCCTCATTCTTGAAATGGCTATACTTTCTCTTTGTTTATACTTCTTCTGTAACCTATAGCACTGATAGTGAATCTTTGAAAGACCAGTGAACAAACTGCAACCCAAAACCCACTTATTTATCACAACGTGCCAACACTGCAATTAAACCTGAATACGGAGGTTTCAGTTTAGAAAGAAGAACTCATACATTAACATCCTCTGTCTTAAAAGAAAAACAAATACACCCATGCCATAGGTTTGCCACCTCGGACCTATAGCATTTTAAACTTTATTTTATAGACTTATCTCTGCCCAGACTCATATATTGACTGGGTGCTAAGCTCCTCAGCAGCTGATCTTTGCCTGATTCATCTTTTACTCCTAATTTCTAGAAGGGTATTTTTTATAGACTATACTCTCAAATAATCTTTTTAACATATTATCTTGCTTTTATATCTTCACAATCTTCATTACTACCAGTGGCATGAAGGCAGAAATCTTGCCTCTTTTTTGCCCCATCTCTAGGAACAGTACTTGGCACTGTTCTCAGTAAATATTTGTGGAATGACTTGCAATATATGGAATTCAATCTATAATACCTGCACTTACAGCAAAGATTTTAGCAACCACACAAGTCACTCAGTAGTCTAAATATATTTCTAATTAAAAATGAAGAAATGTTTTTAGTAAATAGGTCCTGTCCTCAGAATGGAAAATAGGCCTGTATGAATGGGGTAAAGGGTTTGTGGAGGATGATAGTGGAAAATGAGGTTGAAAGATAAGTTTGGGGCCATGTAATGATCAGCCTTGAATGCTACAGTAAGGGACTAGAATGTCACTCTATGCAGAACTCTGGCAGTTTTTCCGAAGTTAACTGGATGATAAATCTCTGGAGAAATACATGGAGAAGGGAGAAATCAGAAGAAAGAAGGCCAATGAGGAAGTTATTGAAATTGACAAGATATAAAATGATGAAGGTATAAATCAGGTTATCATGGGGATGAGGAATTAAAAATATGGCATAGATTTTTGGATCATTGAGAATGAGAATTAACAATTAGTTATGTCTGCTATACTGAGAAAATCAACTATGAGTCAAATAGAGAATGAAGCAAGTTATCTATGAAATACAGTTCCACATTTGAGAAAACAATGAAAATGTTAACTTCAGAAAACGTATTCACTGAAAGGTAAGAACATAGAATTTCACCGCACATTTATTTCCAGATGTCTAGATCATCTATTGAGAAGCATAAACTTTTGGGTGATCTAATTAACAATTTAAAATATACTTATAGACTGTGTCAAAGCTAAGATCTAATTTACCCAATCAAAAGCTTTAATAGGTTAAATTATTAATGAATGTGTCCTTAAGTGATCTTAGACATATATATGAGTATTTAGTTTGGAAATTCAGATGATAATTGTGATATTCTAAAGGTGTCTCCTCAAGATTACTTTAAATCAAACACTAATGTAGGTGCTGACATAATTAGACTTTGCAGATGGAACTAGGTTACTAATTAGTTAACCTTATAACACTGAGATTATCCTGGATTATTTTCATGGACTCAAAGTGATCACATGAGCCTTTAAAAACAAAAGAAGAGTCTCTAATCATGTCTTTCATTGTGCTCCCCATCTCTGTAGTTATCTGGGAAATTATTTCTGTTTTGATAGATGGTCTTTATCCGAACTTGATAAAGGCTACCTATGAAAAACCAACAGCCAACAATTAAATGGCCCAAAACTGAAAACCTTCATGTTAAAATCAGAAACAAGACAGGGATGTCCACTATCACCACTCCTGTTCAACGTAGTGCTGGAAACATTAGCCATAGCAATTAGACAGGAGGAAGAAATTAAAGCAATAAAGATAGGAAAGGAAGAAATTAAACTGTCATTATTTGTTTACAATATGATACGCTACATAGAAGACCCAAAAAACTCTGCCAAAGTCTTTTAGACTTAATTGACACATTCAGCAGTGTAGCTGGATACAAGGTCAATGCTTAAACATCAATAGCCTTCTTGTACACAAATAACAGACTCACTGAGAGAGAAGTTAGGGAAACAATTCCTTTCACAATAGCATCCAAAAAAATGAATCAATCTTTCAAAGGAAGCAAAAGGCTTCTACACTGAAAACTACAGCACTTTGAAAAAAGAGATAGAAGAGAATATAAGAAAATGGAAAGATACCCCTTACTCCTGGATAGGAAGAATCAACATAGTGGAAATGGCCGTACTACCAAAACTGCTACACAGATTCAATGCAATTCTGATTGAAATTCCAACAGTATATTTCACAGAACTATAGAAAATAATCCAAAAATTCATTTGGAACCAGAAGAGACCTAGAATAGCAAAAGCCATTCTAGGCAACAGAGACATGGCAGGGGGTATCACAATCCCCAAATTGAAACTATACTACAAAGATACTATGATAAAAATAACATGGTCCTGGCAAAGAAAAAGACATGAGGATCAATGGAATAGATTGGAAAATACAGAAACAACTCCAGACATACTCAGCTTCCTCATTTTGACAAAGGAGCCAACCATCTTCACTGGAGGAAAGGTAGCCTCTTCAATAAATTGTGTTGGAAAAACTGGATCTCAACCTGCCAAAGATTAAAACTAGACCCTTATCTTTCACCATAAACTAAACTAAAATCAAAGTGGATTAAAGATCTAAATATTAAAACAGAAACACTAAACATGTTGGAAGATAAAGTTAGGCAGAACCCTCAAAGTCATTGGGATAGGAAAAGACTTTATGAACAAATCTTCAGTAGCAGGGGAACTAGCAAAAAGAATTAACAACTGGGATCTCATCTTATTAAAAAGCTTCTGCACTGCAAAAGAAACCACTAACAGAGCTAAGAGACAACCTACAATGTGTGAAAAAAATTTTACCAGCTGCTTCCTAGACAGAGGACTATTATCTAGAATATATAAAGAACTCAAAAAAAATCAGGCCCCCCAATGTAAAGACTGATTCAAAAATGGACATCTGAAATGCACAGACATTTCTCAGACAAAGAAGTAAAAATAGCAAATAAATATATGAAAAAATGTTCCACATCACTGGTCACTTGAGAGATGCAGATGAAAACATAATTCCACCTCACCACACAAAGAATGGCTGCTATCAAGAAATCAACCAATAACAAATGTTGGCAGGGATGTGGGGAGAATGGAACCCTTCTCCATTGTTGGTGGGAGTGCAGACTGGTGGAACCACTATGGAAATCAATATGGAGATACCTCAAAGAAATAGGAGTACAAGCCTGGTGTGCTGGCTCACGCCTGTAATCCCAACACTTGGGAGGCTGAGGCAGGATTGCTGTGAGTTCGAGACCAGCCTGGGCTGTATAGTGAGTTCCAGGTCAGTCTCAACTACATAGTGACACCCTGTCTCAAAAAAACAAAAAACAAAACAAAAAACTAGGAGTACAGGTCCCATTTGACCCAGCTATTCCTCTGCTGGGTAACTTTCCAAAAGAATTAAAAGAATCATATCACAGTGATATATGTGCACCCATGTTTATACTGGCAGTTTGTAATAGCTAACACTTGGAAACAGCCCAATTGCCCACAGTTGGAGACTGGATAAAGAAGATGTGTTTTTCTATAAAATGAAGTACTATTCAGCCATAAAGAATGAGAAACTAGAGTCATTCATAGGAAAATGGATGCACATTGAGGCCATACTCTTAAGTGAAATAAATAAGACACACATGTGTAAAGACTGAATGGTTTCCTCTGGTATGAAAAACGTCAAGTGTAAATAAGATCCAAATTGTATTACAGACAATGTGAAATAGAAAGAAAAGGGCTAAAGGTGTAGGGGAAATGGGAAGGGTAGGAGAAAGGAAATAAGGGACAAGAAAAAAATATGAGCAAAGGAGAAAATGGAAACAAAGTCTTTGTAAATAGGGGAGTGGGGAGGGGATGAAGGAAGGGAAGGGGTATGGTTAAAAAATGAGAACCAAGACCTGTCATGCAAAGGTACGAGATGCCAGTGATGAATATGACTGTACTGTATACCTAAAATGTGCCAATAAACTCAATGAGAAAAAAAGTAAGGAAAAAGCAGACACTGAACAGTGCCTAGAAGTGACACCGCAGAATGGGAAGTCCAAGTGCAAACATGAGAAAGACTTGACATTCTGAGAAGACTCTAAGATGTAGAGTTCTACAGGTGAGGATTGGAGATAGAAGCATCTGGGAGATAAGAGTAGCTTGCAGGTAACAGCTGACAAGAAATGGGACCT